TAGTAAGATGTCTTTAAAAATTCAGGGCCGCAGGTTTCCTAAGGGACATACAAAGCCCACTTCTTTATTTTTTGGGGGGGTTTAGATGTCACACTGCAACTGCTCGTGTGTCTCGGCTTATTGCTCCAGAACGGTTGAGGTGCAGGAAGGTTTCTGCTTTGATGCAGCGTTGTAACTATGAATAGAATGTGCCTGTTATTATGATCACTGTGTGATGTATATTACCAAACTATGGAAGGCCATTTCTGCCACAAACGGAAAAAAAGACATGCTTTGGTAAATCATGCCATTAGAATTTGAAATTGTGACATTATGACAGACTAAGTCATATATATGAAATGAAAAGTTGAAATTAAGTTATGACATAAAAAGTCAATTATGTAAAAATTGACGTATGTTGAAATTGAGTCGGAATCATGACATCATTTATGAGATGAAAAGTCAAAATAATTATGACAAAAATCCTAATTATGAGATAAAAAGTAAATTATAAGACTAAACTCATAAGAAAATTGACATTGGCATTTTTTTGACAATTTGAATTTTTGTCATAATTATTCTAATTTTGACTTTTTATCTCATAATAATGCCTTAGTATCTTGTAATTTCAACTTATTTTATAATTATATCTTTTTTATGTCGCAATTGATTTGCCAAAGCATTATTCTTATCTTATGTGGCAGAAATGGCCTTACATACCAAACTGAGTGAGAATCCTCTACCATATTTCTTTCTTTCCTTTTCCTCCCTATCTGCACTTCATTAGATGTTTGATTTGTGATTGGCTGCTAAATGAACAGGTTTTTTTTGAAGATAGTAGTTTAACCTTGACATGCAGCTACAGTAAAACAGTAGACAGAAAGAATATGTTGCCTTTCCAAACTGCATTCATTCATTGCAGAAGCATGTGGAAGGGCAGTGTAAATTCATAACCAACCACGTTTTTGTCATCTTTATCCCATATATGGACCGGTAATGTCATGATGTTCATTGATGTGAATGTGTGAATCTCCCCAAAACGTTTTTTTTTTTTTATTGTTTGTACAGAAAATGTCTGAGGTCAAATGTGAGAATTATGATTGCATTAAAGTTATGTGTATATTCATACGTTTCACTGCTGAATCATTACAATTACATTTTTTTTTGTCAAGGATTTTTGTCATGTTTTCTAGTGCAAAATATCATCCCTAACAAAAAAGCAGCAAAAATTACATTAAGTGATTGCTGTATATCTTGAATATTTTACTTCCGTATTTATTAAGCATAAATCGAACAAAATTTAGAAAAATAATTTTGCTTAATATTTTTTGGAGGGTTTCAACATTTTACTGGAAAACAAGACACAAATATTTATTTTAAAAAAAAAAAAAAAAATTCCAGCTTAACCATACAATTAAGTATTTCCCACACAAATGAGAAGCATAAAACAAAGCTTTAAAGTTGAAATATTTATTGATGTACAAAACAATTTCCATGTTTTCTGAAAAATAATGGTAACAGCTGATTCAGTATGCTTATCTCTATATGTACAGGGTATGTGAGTAGAGTTCATATACATACCGCTTTACCCTGTATTCTGTACAAGCAAACGATTTATAAAAACCATTTACGGATATGGGAGCAGACTTATTGCTTAACTCTACACTGAATGTGCGGCATATTAGCAGACACTTTTACACATCGTGGGCTTGACCTAAACTGCACAAGAGGCAAACAGAGACAGAACGTGACACAACATATCTAAAGATCATTAGCTTAAGTTATTCCTGTCCCACAACAGGATTGGTTAATAAAACAGCTGATTGGTGCAGCCGGATGAATGGCGAGGAACACATTCTGCTCTTGCGGATGGCAGAACCCAATGCAGGCGTTTCTGAGAGAGTGAGAAAAGGCTGTGTCAGGAAGTCAGTGTCATGCTCCACTCTCCTTGATCCGTTTAAATCAAACCCGTAGCCTCCCATTTCTGCAGTGCACAAGAAAAAGAAAAAAAAAACTCATTCTCTGTTGAGCTCTGCTTATAGGCTGTGTCTGGGGTAGTTGTGCTGTTCTTGACCATATTCTGCATAGCGTCGTTCAGCCACAGTTTTGATGCAAACAGAACAATACAACATCATTCTCAGGCTGAAACTAGTGGAAAGTCCACCGCCGAGGTCTAGTAAACACTTTGCAGGCTGTGAAAGCGAAATATAAAGGCATTCAAAATATGAACTCCCGCTGGGACTTGTCCGTTTGTTTCAGTACATGTCCTATTCATGATGTGCAAACAGTTTTAAAATAATAGTAGGCTATGCACTGTAGAAACAGAGCCAGTGTTTAGTAAAATAACTCTATTCGGCAAGCAGTAGTTCTAATAATATTGCACAGTTGACAGCTCAAAATCAAATGTAAAAAGCTTCACACACACACACATATATATATATATATAGCCTATAAAACAATTCAGATATGACACGATTGCAGGTACACAGAATATCCATCATTGTAATGATTTACATTTTAATACTTTGATGATTCAAATTTGAACATTACTTGATGAGATCTGCACACTTGACTACAAACTCCCTGCAATGGTATTTATACAAAGGCTGATTCTTGCAGTTCTAACACAGTTGAAAACGTTACCATTCAATCTACACTGATGTCGTAGTCTTCGACGTGTTACACCTTGTGAGCACGTGCAAAAAAAGTATTGCGCTCTGGATTTGAAAAAGCAAAAGGCCTTGTAAGTAAATCTGATGAAGAAACATACTTGAAACAGGCGTATGCAGTCTTTTCAAATGGCTGTATTCAAGCTGGCTGGAAAGCAATACAAATCGTATTGTTTATGCGAGTGTGTGAGCATGCAAATGATTGCGTCGGGGTACATGCATATAATTAAGAATTTAAGAGGCTCCGAGTCTCTCAGGGTATTTCGAGCTTCTAGGGAAGATGCTTTGATACATTTCAAATGGCCAGGCAGCTATGCTGCAAACTGGTCCTGATACAGATTTGTGCATGCTTAACGTACGTGCCTACATATCGTGGGATATCATTATTCATAATTACAGGCAACACTATCCAAACCGTGTGCTGTGTCAGTATGGAAAACTCTGTTTTGTTCGAATGATAATTACAATGTGCTTCAAAACTACCCTGGTTGGAAACTCCACTGTGAGACTGTGAATCACTGTTGGGTTTGGATGGGAGAGTGGCGTAAGATGTGCCGCCCCCATAATATAGCAAACTGTGAACATTTTTCGTCAAATGACCATATATTTTGAAAAGGAGTATACAGAGGCATGTTATAAAGCTGTGTGTTAAAAGACAGTAAATTTCCCACATGGCAGGTAAAATGTTGATGTCAAAGCAAAAATATATAGTACTGCGCAAAGGTCTTAAGGTGATGATCCACACAGGGCAACTTTTTGAGCAATGTTGCCATCAACGGGCAACCAGATGAGACACAGGGCCCACGACCGATCTAAATTATCCAGATATACATTTATTGTCCATTTTCAATGGGAAAGTGCCCAAGCAACAATCGCTCGGCAAGATTGCCCAGCAACATTGCTCAAAAAGTTGCCCTGTGTATCATCACCTTTAGGCACCCCCCAAACCCCCATGGTTTTAAGGCAGTTATTTATATCTTTTGCCTACAGTGTGTCAGTAGGAAATATCAGTTTACATTTCTAAACACTCATTTTGCCATTAATTGTAATAATCCAGTGAGATTTTAGTCTGACAACAGCCGCTGCTCCACACAGAGATCTGATCTCACCATCATCAAGTCTGTCTGTGATTACATGAAGAAAAAAGAAAAGAAAAAAAAGCCAGAATCCAGAAAAACTGTGGCAACATCTCCAAGAAACCTAGCTCAGTTTTTTCTATTTCTTCATCACAGACAGACTCGATGATGGTGAGATCAGATTATACCGGCTGTTGTCAGACTGCTTGTGCATACAAAAATGTCACTGGATTATTACAATTAATGGCAAAAGGAATGTTTAGAAATATAAACCGAACTGATATCTCCTACTGACACACTACAGCAAAAGATCTAAATAACTGGCTTAAAATTGTTTAGTTTTTTTTGAGTGAAAAAAAAAGCAGTTTTGCATCCAAAGCATGAAAAAACAAATAGTATGATAAAATGTTGATTATTGTTCCACTACATGCAAATACACATTTTTTTCTAGTTATTTTATGAAAATGTGAATCCCATTCAGCAAAATAAAAATTTGAATGGACTTACATAACATTTTCATAATATAATGAATATAGTTAAAACGTTACCTAATGGTTCAACTTACCCCTTATCATGACACCTCTTACCCCTAATGTGGGGTAAGTTGTGCCAATGGATAATTTTTCATGAGAAGTTATATTTCTGTGCCCCTACTGTATGTATTCTGAAATATAATCAGGCATATTCATTTGCCTGATTACTTGTTTCTTCTTGCCTAGCTGACAAACTAAGTAAAAAGCATCACAGTTTTACCCCACTCTCCCATCGTTCTCCTGCCTTTCCACGACTCTCTTTCTTTCTTTCTTTCTTTCTTTCTTTCTTTCTTTCTTTCTTTCTTTCTTTCTTTCTTTCTTTCTTTCTTTCTTTCTTTCTTTCTTTCTTTCTTTCTTTCTTTCTTTCTTTCTTTCTTTCTGCATCATGTTCTTGTTCTCTCCGTGTCTTCTGTGTCCTCTCTTGCCCACCCGCTCCCTTTCTTTCCCCCCACTCTCTCCCTCCGTGTTTCCTTGCAGTGTGGGTTATTAAGGGCTATATTTAGAGCAAAATTGTAGTTTGGCTCTCGGAGACAATTTTATTTGGATTTAAAGTGTCGGCACCAGATGGGTGCGTTGGCTAGGTGCAGCTGAGTCACTCTCGCACACACACTCGGCTTTTCTTACGCACACTCTGTCGCTTGCGTAAAGAAGGGAAAAAAAACACACACAAACAAATGCGGCGTGAAGCCACAAATCAACGAACAAACACGCTTATGATGAAAACCCGCACGCACAAAAAAAGCTTGACATTATCGAACATAAACTGATTTAAATTAATCTCACCAAATTAAATCAACTCACAGACACAAACAGAAATGTCCCACAAAGCCATAAACGAACAAACACGCAAATTTATGACGAAGACACGCGTACGAACAATCGCTCATGAGTCCCGAACATATCCAAAGCCACACGGCACTCAAACTGCAGCGCGTATCTATGGCACCCCACACATACAAACACACACGGCGTGTTTCGTGTGAAGGCAGGACCAGCGATTGGGGTTGGTTTGATTGGTACGGAGCAGAGAGTGTGCTTCACTGCTTAAAGACTCCCTCCAGGTTCTCCTCAACCTGACTTCACAATCCCGCTTATGGTGTAAATGGAGTGTGCGTTACCAACCGCAAGCAGCTGTCATTCCGGCTGACCGGCTGGCGGTGGGGGGTCTCCCTCTTTCACCGCTTCCTCATTGGGAGCTGGGCACTGCTCGCTGACCGCCTCCGAGTCTCCGTCCTCCATCGGGAGGGTACAGTCACAGGGGAGCTGCGGTAGCTGCTCCTCTTGGGGCGTAGCATCGGTGTAGGGCAGCTCTGATTGGTCGTCTGTGTGTGAGGGACTGTTCTGACTGGACAGCTCTGTGCACTCCGTCTCATTCACAAAGCTGGCCTCAGACGGCTGCTCCGTTTGGTCTTCCAGGTCGGGGAGGTTGGGTTCCCGTGGCAGTGACAGGCTCTTGTGACGACTCCAGAACTTGTGGAGCTCTGTGACCTCCGAGACGCTGCTGCTGTTGCCGCTGTCGCGAAAGCTGGCCAGCGGGGGACGGACTTTCACTCCGGTCACAGTTACAGAGCCCTCGATGGCCTTACGCAGCTGCAGACAGACACAATTTATTTTGGAAATGTAAGCATTTTTACAGGATATAAAGAAGAGCTATACAATCACGCACCTCCTTCAAAGAGACAACGCCTACTAGACGTCCGGTGCTGGTGACATAGGCATGATCCAGGCCAAGTAGTGAGAAAATGGTGTGTGTCTGTAATGCACAAAGGGACAGAGAAAAGGACTGATGTTCACTTTTCATTAAGAGGCAACTGTGATGATAAAACCGGCCTTTTTGTTTTTCATATGACTTGCGTGTTATATTCCTTGTGTGGCTTCAGAACATTTGGAATATATTGTACAAATAATATGCACTTTTTTCTGGTCGTTTTTAAGATAAAAGTGTTAAAGGCCGAATAAGAGAGTACTGCAGGGAGGACATATTTTTGTAGGTCGAAACCCAGAAACAAGTTGGCATTTTGGCAGCTTTCGATTCCACCATCCTAAGGTCAATGGGTTAAATTTAATGGGTTTTTGGTTAAATGCCTGAAATGAATATCTGTGGTTAACACAAGCTCAATGTATTTTCACGTTTTATTCTAAGGCATTAAAATAAATCAGTAATACCCCCTTGTGATTTTTTTAAAGCTTTTATTTGTGGTGAAGCATTGGCTAAATGAGACTACGGAGGTTGTCTGGGACATTAAAGTCATCATTCAGAGCAGGGCAACTCATCTACTCACTAGTTGCTTTTACAGCTTTGTTGAGTTCATAATTAAAGCTACAATATGTTTTACTTTCGCCGCTAGGGGTCGCTAACCTCTTACAATAACAAAGGCGTAGGTTGATGACGCTGTGATAAGCGGAATGATGGGACTTGTCGTCATGCTGATGGATCTAATAATGTTTATGGATGAGTGAATACATTCATGTTTTTTAACATGACTGTTGTATGAAGCAGGTCGCGATTGCTAATGAGAGACAGATATCAGCGCCACACGCGAGTCCCGCGGATATAAAGGATAGAGGACATTTCTTTCTACCGAACAACCCGCAAGTGCTGAATTACTATATTCACACAGGTCAGTTTATTTGACGAATTAAACTTGTGAGGTAACGCAGCACTGTTTAGTTTGGTCTAACGTTACTCTATCATACTAAACAGCATTTGAGTGTGTTGAAAGTTATAATGTTATTTTATGTGTTAGTTTGTTTGCTATATGAGACTAGCAATAAGCTAGATCAACATTAGAATAACATACTGATCATATTCTAACATTTCATCATGTTGAGCTTTAAAACATTGATTTGTTTTATGTACATTTGCTCACCGGTCTAATAAAGTACATGCAAGAGCGGCGTCTCTGTCAAGTCGTGACTCGTGAAGCTCTGTCAAGTCCAAGTTAGTCGCGGACGTGGAGCTCTCGGCATCTCTAAAACGCCACACTGATATTGATCCTCGTTTTAGTTATTCTTTTGTCCCAAAGTCTGCTTGCCATGGTCCATAATGTTTGAACGAAACAACAACAGCGTGCCGCTAGACGTTACCCACTACGCAGTTGTCCACGTCTGTCGCCATGGTTACTATGGCAGTACAAGCGGAAACCAGGGATAACGCGGATATTACGTCATTGACAGGCGAGGTGAACAGGGACGGGCACTTTTTAAAACAGTGATTTTCTCGGAATTTACAAATTCTTTGAAACATTTAGGATAATGGAAGTACACAATTGAAAGAAATATATAACACTGTGCAAGTGGTTTTTTGGATATTTTGATACAAAATTCGTACATATTGTACCTTTAAGCCCTTGCAAACTTTCAGGAAAATTTTTTTATGAGTCAATGAGTCAAAAGCTTAACGGTGGTGATGTTGAAGTTATGCGACCGTTGTGTAGTTCGTTTATAGCTTTTTACTTCTGGCTGTTGTATTTAGGCTTCAAAATTCATAAAAGATTATCATGATAAGTGGAATCAAACTTTTGCTGGTCTCAAAGCCATTTTCTTCATTTTCTTCAATAATCCAAATGGAAAAATCTTATTGGCAGATACAGCAGATTCAGATTTTACCTTATGCAAAGATGTCCGTTCCACCAGCTGAAAGGGGGCGGGGTCTATTTTACAGTTGTTGAAATTAATAGCCTCATCCAACTGTTGCTCCTCCCACTCTGTTATCTGGAAAAAATGAAAAACATTATTTTTTAAAAGGCAAAATTAAAGTACTAAAGATCAGAGAACAAATACAATTTAAACTGCCAAGGGGAAGTATCCTAGGTTTTATACTATAATATGACTTGAGAATGTTCACTTTTATACTCTTTTTCATACAATGACAACGAGAGGTGACCACAGCTTTCAAGGGTGATTTTCAAGGTCAGCTTTTCAGTGAATAATATCTTAAATTTCAGTCTGTTCCTCATAAAAATTACAATTGTATGGAAGAGAACCATGGGAACATTCTTCAGAATTTTTTTTTTTTAAAGAAGCTACAAAATTAGCTTTATTACACATTGTCCAAACCAGGAGCAACACAGTTAAATATAAAAAAATCTCTTCCATGTACTCGAATAAGCAACATTACATTTTGGCAGTGATTTGGTGTCTATTTTCGTGGCCCCGCGTCAAAGTGAAATCTCATTGGACTAAAATCCTGCTCCACATAACTGTATATTAAACATCAAATATTTATTTTTCTGATAGACTGACTGACTTTTTTTTTTTTTGGTTGAAAGATTGCTTTTAACTGACTACTTGTTGCATGTCACCATGTAAGCATAAGAGAGAAGCAAAAAATATGAAAGCAAATATATCTGACCGTCTGTACAAACAGTCAAATGATCAGTCACAAATTTACTTATTTGATTATAGACCTAGAAATAGAGAAGAACCTTCATTGTTTTCATATTTCAACATTATAAAATGATTCATTTCCAAGTTTAAATAATACTTTGAATGCCAGAATCAGACTGTTGGACCTTAGTTACAATGAAATGGGAAGAAAAAAAACTCTGAATGTGATTCACCGCAAGAATCGTGATACAATTACAACATAATTATGGGTAACTACAGTATTTATACCTCTGCTGTTGACATGTCATCTTCTACATCAGGTGTATCCTGAAAACATCGAGTCGAGAATTAGACACAGAAACGCACAAATGTCCCTTTCATACGTTCTTGTCCTCACAAACTTCATGCATTTCATTCAGTTCACAAGACAAGCTACACATACTAATGTAATCTACCGAAGCGGCTCAAGCTTTACTAAACATCAGCAAGCTTAAGCAATACATTAAACGCAGCCCAGGGGAGGGTGAGGTAGATTGGATGCCATTACGATGGCAATAAAGAACTAAGACAGGGAATAGCTTTTCGAAAGGTTCTTAATTTGATTGGAGAGTTTAAGGCTCCAGTTGAAAATTGGACTTGAATCAACTTTGTGAAGCTTTGTTCAAAAGAAATGGGTCCAATTACAACATCCCCCGACGTCCCTCCATTGGTTTACGAGCATACGGGGCTCCTGAGCCCGTTCTGAATCTGAACCTCAAAACCAAACCATGCGTCACACAAACGCACTCATCCCGTGAGAGACAAAAATATGCTTCATAACTTGGTATGATTCATCTCGTGAGTCAGCTTGTTCCCCGTCCCCTAGAGGGGAAGTACTAAGCTGGAGGAGTGTATCAATACAGCACACAGGCAGAACGCAATAAGGCCTCTGAGATGCCAAGGCCCTATTGGCTGTGCCACTGCCACCCCCGATGATGCGTGTTTGTGGGCGAGGGGAACGAGTCCCTGCGGCAGCGTTCTTACCATCATGGGTATCTTCACACGCTTGGGCCTCCTGCTCCTCTTATGAGCCTTGGGGCCAGCATTACTCTTCCAGACATAACAGATAGAAAAGGGAGGAGCATAAAGCGTTAATGCAAATCTAACGCAAGGCGCCCTCAACAGCTGCACCTTCAACATTGACTATTATCAAGGGGCACTGTTAGAGCCGTCAGTCCTCCAAAGAGCAAGGCAGGGTGTGGGGTGTTTAACAGTAAATATTATATTTGGGCTTTGAATCAACAATTTTTCAAACAGACAACAAAACAGAATACAGCCTGTCTGAACAAAGCCTAAGACAAACATTGAAACATTCAAAATAAAAGTCAAAACAGACGCTTAGGCTAATTGTGATGCTGGTTTGGCAAATGGTTTCTCGTGTCGCTCGTCCCATATTCAGCCTCTGGGCACCTGTAAAATCTACAGCTACATAAGTGCTGCGTATCACCCACAATCCCCCTAGAGAGCCATCATACCTCTACTAGCTCCTTCACAGGTTCCCCAGAGGAGAGATTTGGAGAGCCTGCAGAAGAGGAGTGATTAGATTAGCACAAGATGGGTGCGTACCAGGGGGTCGCAGACAGTTCGCAACACGACATACATGAGTAGGAGTTGAAATGTGTGAGTAAGTGTTATATACACACTGTTCAGTGACTCTGTGTTGCTGATTGCAGACACCGTCTTCAGAGCAGACTTGAGGGGGATCTGGGAGTTAGTCAGCGTGGGGCTGTATGAGGACTCTTCAGTGGAGATCTGGAAAAAAACAGTCTATTAGATAGATTTATCAGTAAGGTTGATTATTAAAACAGACTCCACGTACTCCCAGATGTATTACTGAGCACAGAGATGACAGCTTGTCGGGAAGGAATTCTTTGGGATAAAACAGAAAACATGAAGAAAAAAAAAAAACACCTGATGGTGATCTGACAATCCTTTGTTGTTCCTTTGTTGTTCTCTGGGAATCACAAACTCCAAAAACAATGGCATACTAACATTGAACATAATTAAAGAAACACTTCACTCGGAATTGAAAATTATTTATTACGCTCCCCGTGTCGTTCCAAGCCTATATGCTGTTTTCACTTGAAATCTTTATAGTTACCAGTATAGCTCATTGTGACCACTAAACACTAAAAATACAATAAAAAAGAGCCATTAATGGAGACCATGAGACTCATACAGTGCGTCTGAGTCTTCTAAAGCCATACTAAACAGACTGAGCATCAATAACAATCTTATTCTCCACAAATCATCTTCTTCATCCCACATTCTCAATAACAGTATTCACTTACCATGTGAGAAGCACTTTTAGAAGCACAGGATCAATCTGTACCGTATTGGTTAGATTTTTTGATTTATCGATATAGGTCGAAAATTGCATTATTAACTGTAATCATTTACCTTATTTTAAAATTTAAACCACATTTGCTGTATGCTCACTTAAAGTTAATCTGTAAAAAAAAAAAACTAATTTAATGACACTTAACAATCACAAGAAAATAATTAAATAATAAATAGAAAATAAAAATTCAAATTGTATATTATAATGCTTAAATTCACTTAAAATGATTAATTTAATAATTAAAAAATAATTTTAGTGCTATACTTTTTATTAATTTAGATGAATATAGTATAGATGGAATAAATAGCATAGATCTTCATAAGAATTTATTGGCCATAATATAAAAATTATTATCAGCTTATTGTTATTGACCATAATGTTAATAGCAGTGCACCCTTAATGGTTTTTGCCGTCAATAACGTTAAACCTGGTGCAATCTAAAAATTATTGCTAAGTTTATTATTATTATTGCTAAGAAAATTATTAAGCTGCACAGAAAAATAGCATTCAGGCTCAGAACATCATGCGGGCGAGTAAATAATAACAATAATGGTTGAACTAATCCTATAACCTGGTGTTGTTTTTCACAAGTCTATGTTTAAATATATGTCTATATCTCTTAAATTATCGTGTAAAATTACATGGCAAAAATGTCATCTAATCTAATGTTAGCTGCTGCTTCAGATTCCTGTCTTGTAATTAACACTAGCATTTTCTCTCTGAGGTTCATACCAGGAAACGTACGCCATGCCCAGTCTTGGGGGGAGAGTCTTGGGGGAAGGTGGGCACATGGGTGCCGTTGTCCTGAGCACGTTCTCTCAAGAAGTCCAGCCTGCGAGCTCGGCCGAGCTGCAGCGAGAGCAGCGACTGTAGCTGGGAGCGCTCTATAGAACCCAGCAGGATCATGGACTCTGGATCCAGGTAAGGACACGGGCAGAGAGGGAAAGAGAGAAGTGAGAGAGACACAGCGGGATAGCTGGAGGAATGGGGGAATAGCAAAGGTCGGGAAAGGAGATGGAGAAGGTAAAGAATGTGTCTGTCACAGGGAATGTGGTGTTATTGTGGGATAACATTTCCAACTGTGAGCTTTCATTTGGGAACTTCAAGAAAATGGCAGGAAAGGAAACTGTACTGAAATCAAACATCAAAAAGTATTTACAGCCTTATTTTTACACACTTATCATATAAACACCCTCTTAAACCGTTTCTTCATATTCATCCAGAGGCCCATTTTCTTCCCAGGCATCTACAACTGTACACTTCCAGTTGTAGACCAATATATTTATATATATATATATAATTTTACACATTGAAAATATAAACTCACACCTTAAAATATACATAATATTTTACGATATTGAAAAATGTGAAACACATAAAAGCTTAAATAATTAAGAAATATTTCAGATTCTGCACTAATCAAATGATCATGTGACTCTTTGCCCAGATGATCAGATGCTCTTCTATTGTGGCTCAAGGTTCTCTTTGGATAATCTCAAATCATACTCCAGTATTAAGTGTTTAAAACAGTGCAGCTTAATTTTTTTTTGTTGAAAAAACAAGTGATTAATTTTTTTCAGGATTCTTTGATTAATAGAAAGAACTGCATTTATCTATAATACATTAAATGTTTTTACGGTCGCTTTTGATCAATTAAATGCAGCATTTCTGAACAAGAGTATAAAATATTAAGTTCAATAATTTCTTCAACAACAAAAAAAAAGCATACTGACCCAAAATTATATATATATATATCACTCACCTAAAGGATTATTAGGAACACCATACTAATACTGTGTTTGACCCCCTTTCGCCTTCAGAACTGCCTTAATTCTACGTGGCATTGATTCAACAAGGTGCTGAAAGCATTCTTTAGAAATGTTGGCCCATATTGATAGGATAGCATCTTGCAGTTGATGGAGATTTGTGGGATGCACATCCAGGGCACGAAGCTCCCGTTCCACCACATCCCAAAGATGCTCTATTGCAGGGTTTCTCAATCTCGGTCCTGGAGGGCCACTGTCCTGCAGAGTTTAGCTCCAACCCTGATCAAACTCACCTGAGCAAGCTAATCAAGGTCTTCAGGATCAGTAGAAACTCACAGGTAGGTGTGTTTGATCAGGGTTGGAGCTAAACTCTGCAGGACAGTGGCCCTCCAGGACCGAGATTGAGAAACCCTGCTCTATTGGGTTGGGATCTGGTGACTGAGGGGGCCATTTTAGTACAGTGAACTCAGTGTCATGTTTAAGAAACCAATTTGAAATGATTCGAGCTTTGTGACATGGTGCATTATCGTGCTGGAAGTAGCCATCAGAGGATGGATACATGGTGGCCATAAAGGGATGGACATGGTCAGAAACAATGCTCAGGTAGGCCGTGGCATTTAAACGATGCCCAATTGGCACTAAGGGGCCTAAAGTGTGCCAAGAAAACATCCCCCACACCATTACACCACCACCACCACCAGCCTGCACAGTGGTAACAAGGCATGATGGATCCATGTTCTCATTCTGTTTACGCCAAATTCTGACTCTACCATCTGAATGTCTCAACAGAAATCGAGACTCATCAGACCAGGCAACATTTTTCCAGTCTTCAACTGTCCAATTTTGGTGAGCTCTTGCAAATTGTAGCCTCTTTTTCCTATTTGTAGTGGAGATGAGTGGTACCCGGTGGGGTCTTCTGCTGTTGTAGCCCATCCGCCTCAAAGTTGTGCGTTTTGTGGCTTCACAAATGCTTTGCTGCATACCTCGGTTGTAACGAGTGGTTATTTCAGTCAAAGTTGCTCTTCTATCAGCTTGAATCAGTCGGGCCATTCTCCTCTGACCTCTAGCATCAACAAGGCATTTTCGCCCACAGGACTGCCGCATACTGGATGTTTTTCCCTTTTCACACCATTCTTTGTAAACCCTAGAAATGGTTGTGCGTGAAAATCCCAGTAACTGAGCAGATTGTGAAATACTCAGACCGGCCCGTCTGGGACCAACAACCATGCCACGCTCAAAATTGCTTAAATAACCTTTCTTTCCCATTCTGACATTCAGTTTGGAGTTCAGGAGATTGTCTTGACCAGGACCACACCCCTAAATGCATTGAAGCAACTGCCATGTGATTGGTTGATTAGATAATTGCATTAATGAGAAATTGAACAGGTGTTCCTAATAATCCTTTAGGTGAGTGTATATATATAGAGGCAGTTTCCCAGACAAAGATTAAGCCTAGTCCTGGACTAAAGTGACCTTTTAAACCAGATTAACAGAAATCTGCTTTCTCTGTCATGGTTTAAAATTTTAAACCCTGGTTCGAATCCTGCTCGGAAAGTTGCATAAGTATATCGGGGGAACACAAAGCATTTGCGAGAGAACGTAAAAGCATTGACAAAAAATGTTTACTCCCATCTTTTTATTTTTCCTTCACCATGACTCTTTAGGGGCTTCGTAGATTCCACAAGTGATGTGTTAAATTTTTCGTTGCTATTTGCTTTAAAAGAATTTTCACTTAAGTAATTTTTTTCGATTGCAGTCTTTTTTCTGTTGTCATAGTTTTCTTTGAATTTGCTTCTCAGTTCCATACAATTTTAAGCTTTTCTTGGTTCGTACCATGTTTTCGAGGCAACCTTGGTCATGCTAATTCAGATTAGCACAGTTTATTCAAAACTTCATAGTCCAGGTGTTAGTACTCTGTACTTAATCTGTGTTTGAGAAAGACATTTTTTAAGCCATGATTAACTATTCTTAATTAAGGCCTACTCCTAGCTTAATTTAGACCCTGTCCAGGTAACCGCCCCATATAGTTATATACTGTATATACTTCGCTCTCTGGATATTGGCTTCAGCCATTGAAAACCCATTTTGATGAAAACCTCATTTCTTTGCAAAAATGATTCAGCAATCAAAGACTGATATTGCAGAGACATTTCAGCAGAATTGCTTTTCCATACTGAGAAAAATGGGGAAAAAAGACACTTTGGGTTAAAGACTGCCTAAAAGTCTGTCTAAAAATTCCCAATGTGAGATTGTGATAGTGGTAAGAAGGATGTGCAGAAGGTGGACTAACAGGCCGAAAACAACTTTTTTTGCGCATAATATATAGGTATTTTATGCATGTCTCACCTTTGGACTCCACCAGGGCCAGGGTTTTAAGCTGGCCTGTTACGAGAGCTTCCTGCAGATCCCGGTAAGAGGAGGAGAGCGTGATATACCGCACGTCTCTCACCATTATGTCCTCTACGCGGATATTATATTTTCTACAGGCAAAAAAAAACAAGATGGGAGTGAGCATTCAAAAAGCCAGGGGAATAATATGAGAGTGATAATTTGGGGAAGGAACGTAATGGCCCTCACTCCTGTCCCCAGCCCAGCTCTGGCAGGTAGGGAAGTTTCTGGATCCGGATGATGGAATCATAGAGGGAAGGCTGTAGACTCTGAGCCACGGCATTGGCCAATATCACAGCGATCATCACGGGCAGGATGTGCGAGATTTGACCGGTCAGTTCGAACACAATGACGGCGGTGGACACGGTGTGAGTGACTGCGCCAGAAAGAGCCGCCGCCCCTGTGGGAATCAACAATTCGTCCCGCATCAAATTACAGTAGCAGTCACCCGCCTCAAGCCATCTGATTTCCTATTGTGCTCCTGACAAGCTTTCTGCTCCGCTGCACAATCCAGCGCTACCGCTGAAGCCATTTCCAAAGGCAAGATCTAATTTGGCTGTTGGTTTGTGTGGGTTAATGAAAAATGTATGACTCTTGCATACAACACCCTGCAGGTTCAATTACGTGTGTGAATAAGATATAGCCACGACGGGTTGAAACTGATGGCTTTTGAAAGAAAACAAATGGACATCCGCGAAAAGGCATGCACAATGGTTACTCTCACCAACAACTGCGTATCCGCCGGGAACTATGGGATATACAGTGTTGTCGGCGTGTATCCCTTCGGGGAAGACAGCGGCCATACTCTCGCCGACCAGTCGACCGAATGCAGCCCCTGTGTGACACACAGAATTCACATTTTAGTTTTGATGCCATTTTGGGGCAGACAAAAAAAAACGGTCAAATATGTAACACCTGGTTGACGTATACTTACATGAGGCCACACACATTGATTCCAGAATAAAGCTGCAGTGATTTCACGAGTTTACACACACAGGCTTTAGTGACTCAGACAGTGATGAGGGATGGAAATGGAGAACATGATTGCGGGAAAAGGAAAACAACCATTAAGGACAAACTAAAATATGATTGCTGGTATGAACACAAGAGCAAAATAATGTTCAAACGTGCTCGCTCATACACTGCCGGACAAAAGTTTGGAATAATTAAGATTTTTGAAATAAGTCTCTTATGTTAGAATTGAATGATAGCATATTAGAATGATTTCTGAAAGATGTAAAGATGCTGAAAATTCAGCTTTGACATCACAGAAATAAATTGCATTTTAAAACATATTAAAATAAACAGTTAAATATTATTATTTTTATTGTATTTTCGATTAAACAAATGCAAGCTTGGTGAGCATGAAAGAGTCTTATTTCTTATCTTCTTTCTTATTATCTTATAAATCGTAATTATATCAAACTTTTGACTGGTAGACCAGAGTCTTATTTCTTATCTTCTTTCTTATTATCTTATAAATCGTAATTATATCAAACTTTTGACTGGTAGACCACAATAATGGCTTGAAATGAAAAAAAAAAAACCTTTCCCACAGTGTTGACTTTTAAAAACAACACATGCACTATAAATCACATACCAATGAGGAAAACCGGCATGAAAGCCCCACAAGGCACAGGCATTGTTGTGGCCACAGCTGACATCCAGAACTGAAGAGAAACATTCAAGAGCCACAAGGTCACACACATGAACAAAGGCACCCTTTAATAATTAAGCACCATCACACACGCAATTGTGATGCTGTGCTGAAAATCAGACCGGCTGTGATTTACCTGCAGCCGAATCGAAACTGTGCTGATTTTCAGCACAACAGCATGATAGCAACTTTTTTATACAACACAGTTCAATAACAAGTTGAGTAATATTGATATTGAGTAACTGACATTTCAATATGACCAGATATTTTATTTATTTTTGCAGCAAGAAGCAGCCAATCAAATAACAGCTGTATAATAACATATGTTACATTCACATATTGCCCATTGCTATTCACGTTCATGGTCTTTATAATTTACAAAAACATGGAGAGACCCACCTTCATGACAATGAAGAGGAGGAGTGTGATGAACACACTGACTTGTGGGTGCTTCCAGGCCTGAGGTACGTGACTTGAGTACGCAAACTCCTCCGCAACACCTTGCTTGTACCAGGTCAGGTTGTCAAACAGTGCCACTAGAGACTCATGTTGAGTAAGCTAAATGAGGAGGCAATGCAGTTTGTTACTGAATGCATGATTACTGATCCGGAACAAATTAATCTATCAGCATGAAGCACACGTGAAAGACTGAAAAAGTTTGGTTGTATAGAAAAAAGAAAGGTATGAAGAAGGAAACCATTTTGATGAGACACACAATACATCTGAATCATCAGACCTGGCCTGCCATGAACTGTCCAAACCCTGGAGGAAAGGTGAGTGTAGAGATAAGAAGAGTGACCACTGCCGGATACACTAGTCTTCTATGGGAAGACAAACATGAGAGAGAAAAATGACTGAATATCTGAATATAATAAATAAACATTTGACTATATAACATTAATAATTTAATATTATTCATTTTAAAAAGTTTTATTATTAATCCAGCACTGAAAACAGAAAATATATTTAATTTGTAACATTATTTAACAATTAAATAAAATAATTCTTAGCTAGTTCCTAAATAAAATACATGGTACAATAAGGAAGATATTTTGAAGAATGTCAGTTGATGTAACAAAATACTATGCAAGTCAATGGGGTACATCAGTGTTTCTCAACCTCTCCTGCAGGGACCCCCTGACAGGCCATGTTTCTGTTTTAACCCTGAAATGGCACACCTGATTCAAGTCATTAAAGGCTTAATGAGTAGTTGACTAATTGATTAATTGAACTATTCCTACTCTAATTACTCATTAAGCCTTTAATTACTTGAATCAGGTGTGCCATTTCAGAGTTAAAACAAAAACATGGCCTGTCAGGGGGTCCCTGCAGGAGAGGTTGAGAAACACTGGGGTACATCAACTGTTTGGTTACTCACATTATTCAAAATATCTTCCTTTGTATTCAGTAGAAGAAAGAAATTCATACAGGGTTGAAACAACTTGAAGGTGAGTAAATGATGACAGAATTTTAGATTTTGAAGTGAACTATTCCTTTAACATTGTAAAGAAGCACTGAAAAACTAACTTTTTTAGCAAAAACTTGTTGATGGTTTTCTGTTTTCTCATGGACTCCACTATGATCCTGTTCAGGTACACAAACAACGCCCCTCCAAAACCACTGGCAATTCTGAGAAAAACATGAACAACAACTGAAACATTAAGCGTGTCCATTGCACATTTCTATTTTACAGCAAAGAACTAAGATTCACAAACTAGTTGGATGTAAAGATTAGACATGTGAACCGAACCCAGTGTTTGAAAGCATAAGCTTTGCATATAAACAGTGCTAATGAGCTTAGACATTTTAACACAAATGTTCCTTGACAAGGATGTTAGTCTGCATAAAATCTTACTTCCATAATTCAAATTATGTTAATAAAATATGTTTTTGGTAGAAAGGTGAGACACAAACCCGAGCACAGCAAAAGCTGGAAGCTCTTGTAGGTCAAACGGAAAGTCCAGGCGAAAGCGTGTTTTAAAGAGAGCTGTGATCGTCTCTGCAATATGGCGAAGAGATTGACAGTTAGTATGGCGAGTGAATCATCTGACAGTGTTGGCTATCATAACGGGTTCCTCCCTCACCCTCATCGTTATTCCACACTGCCAGCACCCTGAAGATAAAGGCACTGAAGGTTGCAGCGAAGAATCCTCTCCAGTAGTTCCTCACGGCAAAGAACGTAGATGTGACCTCAATACTAAACAGCACTCCTGCCACAACACAGCAGATCGTCAACAAACAACTTTGCTCAAAGCTGGAGGTATACAGGGAAACGTTACTGTCGTGAATGTGATATGGCGTTATCTCCAGTGGCCAGCTATGATCACAATGTGTCTGGTCTTACCTCCAATAGGGGCCGCAAAGCAACAGCCCACCCCCACGGCACAGGCGGCTGACAGCATCTCTGTGTTTCTCAGCTCATTCTGTCAGATTAACGAGAAAACCGAATACATGCAAATCCTGTTTCAAATGACTGTCGCGGTGGCATTTTGCAGGCAGCCAAGAAACAGGGTAATTACACTGACGGATACATGGCAACGACATGCTGAACAAGGTATTGCTATGAACACAATTAAAAAATGGACAAACACTGCTCTTTCATTCACTATACGCTATCTTTGGGGACGGTTTTGCTACGGCCAGGGAGGATGAAGTCCAGTGGACTCTAGATTGCAATGGAAAAATGGTAAACTTGAGAAATGAAAATTCACAAAATGGGAGAAGAAAATAAAACTGACTTTTTCATTTATTTGAACACTTTTAATCAATCTGATCACATGGACACACCCAAACATAATAATACCTGCATCTTACCTTGTTTCCCTCAAAGGGCTCTTCCTTCAGCAGTAAATCAAAATAACACATATACATGTGAATATCTGAACTTGTTCAAAGGCTATCAATAATTTAAGTACTTACAGTGTTGTTTACTTGTTTCAAGTCTGTATCTAAAAAAAAAATTATAGAATTTTTTTCACATTTATTGTAATGGGAACTATAGTGTATTGACTATGTTTGATCTATCTATCTATCTTCCACACTCTGTCTCCTGAGGGCAGTATATGGTGTTGAAATGTGATTGCTGAGAGCCTTCATTAATTGATTGATTTGTGGGTGAAAGTATTGCTGTTTCTCAATTCACCTACTTATACTACGCTCTAAAAGTATGTACTCTTTTTGTGAAGAAAGTGTTGTGTTGCAAAAGAGTACACAAGCTTTGAGACATAGCCTATACTATCACGTCATATGCGTCTTTAATGGTTGCTCTCTGTCGCATCCTGTCACAGTAAACTGGCCTGTTAATCATCTTGTCACAGTTAAAATCCTCCACATTTCATTTCCTACCGTCTCAGAGAGAAAGGCAGTAGCACGTGATCAGCAGCCGCGAGTCTTTCATGCGAAGAACTCTCTCATTTTAATGCATAATGATGCATTTAAAAGTGAATGGCCAAACGGATCTTTATAAAAATCCACATTGTTATTGCAGATGAAAAATTACACGGAAAACATTAAATAAATATATTTTATCAGGTTAAACTTTGATTAGTCACTCAACCCTTAATATAAACTTCTCACCGTGGGTCGCGCATATCTGCCATGTTTTGTAGTATTTTAACACTTTTTACCATAGCTTTTTACTCGTGTTTGTAGTTCCTTAAGGCGATATTAGCCTTTAGACAGATTTCACACTTCGAAAATCTACTGTAAATAAAACATCCGGGGACTTTTGACATACTCTTTTCAACATAGGCTACTATGCTTTGGGACACATTTATTCTAATCTCACATTCTATTTAGGATGGATAGTATGGACATTGGGATGCAGGGTATAAAAGTTTGTGGTGTCCTTCTCAACAGTACCTCTTCTGGAGAAAGAAGTATACTGAGGTTTTCCAGAGAAGTAATTTGCTCTAACTTGCTTCTTTTCCTTTTGTTTAATACTCACCGATATTTGTCACACAAATGGATTATTATTTTCACTAGACTTTGTTACTTTTGAAATATTTTTTTTTTCTGTATAAATAAACAACCTTATAATCCAAACAGTTTGTGCGTGTGATCCTCTTTATGTGATGGTCAAAAATGAGCTGGCCGTGACATTATCTATCTATCTATCTGGAAAAATTATCCCCTTTATATTGGTACTAGACTTTTTTCTTTTACCCAGGCCCTATTTGGAGCTCCACATTCATATCCCACTATCAAATGTGACACCCACAGGTATGAAGTGTCAGACAAATAATTATTGGCACGGCCCGTTACCCCGGACCCCCCTGCCTGATTGACTGTGTAAACATGCCATTGACATTTGCCCAATTAAAGCGTATTAAATTACAGAGGAACAGTTAAGATGTGTCAGAATGTTTATGGCCTCCGATTTTCTGTCAGATTCACTCTGCGCTAACAACATGTTATTGATCCATTCCCCAGCATGCTGTGATTTCTCAGGTTACTTTGTGGGCAAAGTCCAGAGGGTTGATATGGAATCGCACAAAGGCCGTTTGACTCATTTTTTAGCACGATTTACAAACAGTTCCATTTACTGTGGTTGCAATTCCCAAGAGAACCGATACCTTACGCACTCTGACTAATCACAGCCTAGCAAAAAGCCCTAGAGAACCCTCAGCTGCTTGTTTGTATGATACACGCAGATGAGACTAGAAGAACAAGGCCATGACGTTTCAAGTGCAGTGACATGTAAAGTGATAATACAAACACAAGTCATTGGTAACGCTTTATAATATCTCTCATTAATAGGTGATTATTAATAGGACATTTCATTAAGAGGTCTTTAACAATCATTATATGATGTTTATAGATCAATAGTTAAAGTAAAGTCACATAGGCTCCTTTCCTTTTTTTATCACTGAGATGTCTGAAAATATCAGCTTCAAACTTGGGCTGTGTGCACAAAAGCACAAAATGTTGGAGCAAATTTGTTATCTAATGCAATGAAATTCATACATTTTTTAGTGTGACAGTGTACAAAAGTGTTGTGTGTTGACCACTATATATGAAATTTCTAATTTTTTGATTATAAATGATTTTATGTAAAGCATAATATGTTGTAATAATGTTTGTTAATGTTCTTAATGCAGGTTATTATAAAGTGTTACCAAAATTTGAAATGTCAGAAACTTATTGACACGAGACAGGATCACTAGAAAGCCTCTCACCATGTAGATTCCTCCAAACAAGGCCATGAATTTGCTCAACAGAGCAGCACACAGACTGGCAACATGAACAAATGGTCCCTAAAGGATACAAGAGGAGAAAGAAATAACAGATGTGATCACGGTATTTTAGCATTAGAAGGCTTATAGGATCAGATATCCCCTCTCATGCACCTCTTTGCCCAGAGGCATGCCACTTCCAAGGGCACAAGTTAAGCCAATCACTTTGGCAACAAAGGTTTTGAAAGTGAGGTACTCTTTCAGCACAACACCTCGGAGGATGGTCTTCATCTCTGGGATCCCAGAGCCTAGAGGAAGAAAAGAGGTAAGGGGTTACAAAGAGATCTGGGAACATGTAAATACCATTTGGCTTAAGTTGATTACGTGAGCATGGGTCAGTGTGTGCGTATCTCACCCACTGCCTGTGGCGCCAGTATCTGTGTGAAGCCGGCAGAGAAGGTGATGAGAACTACTGGATAGGTGACCCAGGCCAGGTATTGCAGCAGAATGTTACTGTGCAGACCACCATACATCCACTTCTGTGCTGCAGACACCGACACACACCACATAATTACATCTCTGTAGACACATAAGGTGCGTCCCAAATTGCATACTTATGGACTATTCTATACTATTTTTAGTACAAATAGGGTGTTCGCATAGAAAATGACAAAAAGACCTGGATAATGCACTTAGTTAACCAAAAAGTGTGGAATTTTGGACACTTCATACACTCAACATGCACTCAACTGTCTAAAATTCATACACTTGATGGTACAGCACATAGCAGGGGCGTTGCAGGGGCTTCTATTTAAAGGGTTAGTTCACCAAAAAATGACAATTCTGTCAGTAATTACTCACCCTCATCCAACCCCGTAAGACTTTCGTTCATCTCCGGAACACAAATTAAGATATTTTTTGATGAAATCTAAGAGCTGTCTCACTCCTTCATAGGCTGTTAGGTAATTGCATCTGCCGGCCCAGAAAAGTTAGTAAAGACATCGTTAAAATAGTCCAAGTGACTACAGTGGCTCAACCTTAAGTTTATCAAGCGACGAGAATACATTTTGTGCGCAAAAAACACACACAAAAAAAAGACGACGCATGCGCGAGAACTGAGAAGATGACGCTCACGATCATTTGATGGGAAAGTGTGAAAGGTAAGCCATTAATTTTGCGGCATTGGTAAGGCAATTTTACGTTTTCTCGTTGGCTTCTCACGATTCGGACATCCAGGAAATGCACACTTTAGAACCATTTTAAACACTACATCGAGACCCATCTGCGTCATCTTCTCAGTTTTCGCGCATGCGTCGTGGCGCTCTCGTGAACTCACCGGCAGAGGCCCACACGGAAGATAATCAATAGTTGAATAAAGTCGTTATTTTGGGTGTTTTTTGTGCACAAAATGTATTCTCGTCACTTGATAAACTTAAGGTTGAGCCACTGTAGTCACTTGGACTATTTTTTTAACGATCTCTTTACTAACTTTTCTGGGCCGGCAGATGCAATTACCTTGCAGCCTATGAAGGAGTGAGACAGCTCTTAGATTTCATCAAAAATATCTTAATTTGTGTTCCGGAGATGAACGAAAGTCTTACGGGGTTGGAACAACATGAGGGTGAGTAATTACTGACAGAATTGTCATTTTTGGGTGAACTAACCCTTAAAAAAAGGTAATTCTGTCCACCATACTTTTTCGACACATGCCACCATTCCCGGCCATGTTCTCTGGTGGTGGTTATTTAGGTTTGAGAGAACTAACATTTAGCCAATCAATGGTGAGTTTCAGTGTTGTTTTGTTATCCTCGTTCTCGTGTCATTTAATTTTTTTTGGCAGGCTGGATACTTTGCGTTAAATTCACTGCAGTAAAAAATAGACAATATCTTCCTGTTTTCAAACACAGTGTATTTTGATGTATTTCACGATCAAATTTCTACGTGAGGATCTAAGGTAACGATAGTAATGATCTTTCTCCATTAAAAGTATTTCACAAGCTTGTGCTCATAATGATTACAATATAAGGATAGCATTTGAGAGTTTTGTATGTTCGCATCAACTTTAATAAAAGACTATAAAGATTATACATATAGACTTTATCGATTAGACTATGCATCTATCTACATTTACATGTGCTCTGTTATTTTGTTGTTAAATTATTTCAATTCATTTTCCTGCCCGGTTCGACAGATGTCTTGGAATTTATACTGATACCTACTGGTGTGGATGAAAAAGCAAAGGTCATTTTAATTTCAATTGAAGAAATGCCCAAAAACTGAATAATAATTATTAATAATAATAATTCGTTACATTTATATAGTGCTTTTCTCACCATTCAAAGCCCTTTACATGGAAGGGGGGAATCTCCTCAACAACTACCAATGTGCAGCATCCACCTGGATAATGACACGGCAGCCGTATTGTGACAGAACGCCCACCACACACCAGCTTATTGGGGAGAGGAGACAATCGGCCAATCAGTTTATATATGGGTATGATTAGTAGGCCATGATGGACAGAGGCCAATAGGCAAATTTGTCCAGAATGCTGTGGTTACACTTCTACTCTTTTTTCAAAGGACATCCTGGGATTTTTAATGACCACAGAGAGTCAGGGCCTCGGTTTAACGTCTCATCCGAAGGACGGTGCTCTTTGACAGTATAGTGTCTCCATCACTATACTGCGGCATTAAGACCCACACAGACCTCAGGGTGAGCGCCCCCTGCTGGCCTCACTAACACCTCTTCCAGCAGCATCCTAGTTTTCCCAGCAAAAGGGATGCAATCAAAAGTGTGCATTAATAGAGGAATCACTGAGATAATTTTCTAGTGTTTCCCCCCATGAGGCAACCACCATGAGATGGGCTACCTACTATATGGCCCTGTCTTGTATGGCACACTTGATGTGTACTGGTGCTCAGGTCATTGTTTGCCATTTGTCAATTTATGAGTCGGAAGTGTGCTTGTTATGCACCCTCATTATTCTCTTCCTGACAACACCAAAGTGTGGACTCGGAGGAGAAACAGACCCAATATAAAATAAAATAGCCCATTAATATCACTGGGGTCTTTATTTCATGTAAGTGTAAATCATTTTGAACATATCTGTCAAAAGTACTAGTTGTCATATTTGTATATTTCTTGACCCTTCACTTCATGCACCTTTAGCTAATGCTGCAACATAAAAAAAAAAAAGTCGCCCTTGATGTGCCTTTTTGTTAATTGACTGAACTGCCACACCCCCAGTTCTTGTAAATAAACTCATTCTTTTGCAAAAAGAGGTCAGTGAGTTGGCACCAATTCGTTCAGGCATTAATGCACCTTCCATCCCAGAATACATGATGATGATACCTCACTGAAAAAAACCCAATACTTGACTAAATGACACCATCTGTACTTTCATGGGACCCTGTCAAGCAGAAAATTGTCTTTTTCTTTCTTTTCATTCTTTTCTCTCTCTCACCTTGCTGGCAGAAGGCAATAGTGTAGTCCATAGCCCAGCTGACCAATGCCATGAGAAGCCCCAGGAGGATGAGGAAGATCCAGTCTTCACCCACACGGGAAATCAGGAACTTCTTACACCGTGATGTACAGACTGCAGACAGACATTAAAGGGATAGTTCACCCAAAAATATCAATTCTGTCATCATTTACTCACTTTTGTGTTGTTCCAAACTTGTATGACTTTCTTTTGAGGAGCACAAAAGGTAAATTTATAATAATATGCTGTTTGATCTTGTCCAAGCAGTTCTAAGTAATGAGCACCAAGCCACTGAAACTTAAAAAAAGATGCAAAAGCAACATAAAAAACAGCGTATATGCTATACTGTATACACTATCGTTTAAAAGTTGTGGGTACGATTTTTTTGTTTAAAAAATGCTCACCAAGGCTGCATTTATTTGACAAAAATACAGTAGAAAAAAGGCTTGAAACATGAAAGTGTGCTGTGGGTTTCGTGCTTTGCGCCCATCAGCCTATATATGGGCTACTTTTATTATGCATTTATGTAATTGCAAGACCAAGCAGAAACATTCTTTAAAATGGCTTGATGTTTGACTATTTTGGTTTTGTGAGATTGAGTAAATGTAGACAGAATGTTCTATTTTTTGAGTGATCTAATCCATTAAGCACCTATAATATTCACCGTTTTTCCTTTTCTTTATAGGTCAGTCTGTTCACAACATAGAGATGGGCTGTATGAACAGGAAATGAACAACCAAATTACCTGAACCCAGCAGTAGGTGCACAGTATGCTTTAATGAAGTGAACAATTGCTCATAAAAGAGCTTGTTTTCCTGGATTCCCACATTTCCAAACTCATGAGAGTGTGAACAATTACAATAGGTGGACCGGGTTGCGGAGACCCAGACAGGAAATGGCTTGTGTGTGTGAAGATAAGACGCATCTGAAAGACAGCGGAAAGGGAAGGGTCACGGCAGGTGATGGGACACCTCTGTGAACGTGACAGAGTCGCTGCCACGCCAGCCTCAGTACCTGCTAAGTGGCTCTTCGCCCGGTTCCTCTGAGCGGGAGTTGGCACGTGGGCCGATTTGTCCACTGAAGTGGCACAACAGATGTCTTTGCTCTCAAAATAAACCCTGTAACAATCCACAACCGAGAAAGCAATAAGCCGAACCAAATTTATCGCAATTCAAGATGCATTTTGGACAAGCAAACCTGCAGTGCTTATCTCCAAACTGCGCCAGACAGAAGTGCTGAGATGCAGCATATTTTGACACTTAATTGGAGTTTGAGGAATAACCGTATAAATATGCAGAGCCCATGCTTCCCCACACAGGTTTTAGTGTCTTTGACAAGTGAGTCACAGGCCAGCAGTGGAAGTGACATCCTTATGTGGAATGCATGCATAATATACCAATGTATTATATATCCAAGATCTATTTATATTCCCAGAGCGAGTAGAAAGGTGTAGGAGGTTTGGTGAGAGGCAATAGTATCTGCCCTCACTCTGCCTGATATGACAACTTGTGCGGGATTTTCTACTCTGAGTCTCCGAGCAGTACTCACAATTTCCCACGAGGGCGAGCTGGTGGACTGCTGCCAGTTCTCTGTTTTCATCCACAGATCCAAAACAATTAGCACTGAAATAGACAGATTATGTCAGCTATGGAGGTAGGACTTCACTCTAAAGTTGCAGAAAGAACAAACTGCAGGATGCTGACAGCTTGTCGCAAATCTACCCCCCTCTGTCATCTTAAAATTCACAAATAAAGTCTAATTACACCAGGGAGAGCGGTATATGTGTTTATATACTCTATTCGGCATGGATATATACACTCTGATGCCAGATCTCACAAGACAAAACAAGGCCAAAAATACGCCAACACAAAATAAGCTGATTTCATTGTGTGATTTATTGTAGCATAAAGGCATAAAAATTACAAACTATTTTGCATTATATGCCATCATTTTCAAGCTGTTTATAAAGTGTTGTTTTATAGAGCTGTCATAAAGAGAAACCACATTCAATGAAAAATATAAATATTATTTATGTGCATTGCTAAAAAAAAACTGTGTCTTTTTATGTGCGGAGGCCGCTGAAAATGTTGTCAGGGAAATTAAAAATCTAACCAGGCCATTTGAAAAATATCATCCTTGTCCCAAACCCTGCTTTTATATAAAAAACTGACCACCTAAATCAATCAATACATTTCTCTCTTTTGGATTTACACATAATTGGGGTAAAGAAAGAGCTGGGACAGACAGAAACACTGGAGGAAAGTGATTTTTTTTGTAGACTGTAGGTGGAGAAATTTGACAACTGCTATTAGCGACCCGTCATACCCTATTGCTATGCAGGTCAAACACTAGCAAACCCAAATATGTGATTGTATTCTGGAAAAAGGCCCAGAAAGCACAAACCACAACAGCCCATTTTTATAAGTAAATTTATTTTAAAAGTATTTTATGATAAGTGTGGGCATAACAACACTAATTTTTAAAACATCATAATCACAATCCTGACCAAAGGGAAGGCATCTTATGCTCCCAGTCAACATTCCTTCTTCTTTTGGACAAAACATCATATTTATCCTTCACAGAAAAGACAAATGACAAAAAGCACTGTGAAAAGCTCAATGCAAAAAGAAAAAAAAAGAAGAAAAAAGAAATTCCAACATGGTGGACAAGGTGAGTGAAAAAGGTGATTCCGATTTCAATTTTTTTTTGTAAGTGTGACCTGCCGATACCAATTCTTTTTGCCGATACCATTTCCCTTTAAAGAACTATAATTGACAGCATATACAAACAAAAATCTATTTTTCTTCAATGCAAAATGTTTTCATAAAAAACAAGGAAAAAGACAATAATAAAATAAGACTGTAAAAAATATACAGATTGATTAATGCTTAAAATTAAGTAATTCAAAAAGTAATTCAGTCAAGAGCAGAGAGTGATTTTCTTTGTCTTTTCTTCTTGTACTAAAGGGTTAGTTCACCCAAAAATGAAAATTCTGTCATTAATCACTCACCCTCATGTCGTTCCAAACCCGTAAGACCTTTGTTCATCTTCGAAAACACAAATGAATGGATTATCTTCCAAACAAACAAAAATAACAACTTTATTCAACATTTTCTTCTTACGGGTTTGGAACGACACGAGGGTGAGTAATTAATGACAGAAATGTCATTTTTGGGTGAACTAACCCTTTAATATGACAGACAGCAGCAGGAATAGTAGGCTGCTGTCACTTTAAGAGTTTATGCACGGATCCAATATACTGCTACACAACTTGTGTTATATTTCTTAAATAATTAGGTTAAAAAACTGACTGTATTTACCCGAATACTCACCAAGATGGGCATTTTGACATAATTTTGTGTGGATTTGACAGTTTAAGCGCAGTAAGCCACTCATTTTGGTACTTGCGAGTCGCGACCACTAGCGGCGCCAGGATTTTGATTGTAGGTGGGCCTCCAGAAAACTGGATGGGCCAGTAAAAATAAGCCAAAAAAAAACAACAACAAAAAACGGGTTCCCCTTCATCTCTGTTTCAGCGCTTTTCTGCGGCACAAACAAGCTGCTTTGCTTTGCGTTTCATATTAGCTAATAGCTACCGTCTGTGTCTGTCTCATTGAGCTTGCTTGAAAAGCTTGCGTGCCAACGTCATTCATTTCATTGGATCACTTGCTGGTGACGATGCAGCCTGTGAGCAGTCTTACGAGTCCACACGTGGGGTAGAAGCCGCTGATTGGCTGAGAAGCTTTCACTCAAAGCTTTCCTCGGGCTGCTTATAGGCTCTATGCACGATCGCTTCCGTGTTTTGTCTCAGCCCGCCCAGTTACATCCGGTGCTGCGTCGCAAGCCGTTTTTGCATTAGGTGGAGATAATGGCAAATTACACTCGCTGTTTACAAGAACTTCCAGCGGTTAACGTGAATGATAACAATATTGTGAGGCAGTTAGCTGTCACACATAAGAGTAAGAAAGAGAAGGGCATTAAATTATATATTTCGAGCTACATCGACAACTTTGAGGGTGAGTAATCTCTCATATCATGCGAAACCCGAGTAGCGAATCAGTTTCTAAAATTGTTGTCTCGTTTCTGAGAAAATTAATTTTATTAAAGTTTGGCCGCTAGTACACTTCGCTATAGAACGCGCTATGCGGAGGTAAAGACACTGGCTGAGATTCTACCGGAAATACGTCAGCAGCGTTTGTGCATAGAGGCTATTGGATGAACTGCTAGAATGAAAATCACTCACCTGGGTCAAAATGGGCGCGGGTGCTTGCGACTCACAAGCTGCTTAAGGACCGAGACGTGGCTTGTGCGCACCACTTATAGGCTATAGATCAGTGATGCACATGCTTTTGGTGTGAGTGCAAAACCTGTGGGAATTAGTAAAATGATGCGCAATACAAGCACTATTTAATCAAAGTAAATGAGGCGAGAGGCGGGTGTGTCACTTTGTCGTCGGAGAGAAGAGAGCAAGAACGCGCAGCTGACATTATTGCCTGTGCCGCTGGCAACAAAACGGACCAGCTCGGAATCTAAAGGAGACGTGAGACTGACCGGCCGGTTACCGGTCCTGGCCGATAATGCAGAAATTCGTCCGATTCTGGTCCCTGGCCGCCCGGTCGATCGGTGCATCTCTATTTAATGCTTATTAGCGTATCATGCGTTTAGCTTAGCAACAAGCAAATAGCAAACTCTTATTGAGTCGGAAGTCAAGTTCAATGCAGAGAGCCAGCGCTACATATGCAGAGCGTTGCAAATCAATCACTTATGGCTAGTATGATGCAGCTTTAGAACACCGCAGCCTATGTAGGCAGAATGCGTGTGGCAGCTCGCTAGGTTTTGGAACGGTACTAGATGGAGGAATAAAACAGAAATGAGACAGACACACACAGAGAGACATATGATGTAGATATCTGTAGACCGGTGTGTAGGTAGTGAGCTGACAAGCCTCCAAACCCCTCAAACTCAGTCAAGGAGGATCAGAAGACCTCCGCTGCACGCTGTGCTGATAGATTTCTCATGCTTTTCACACTCAACAGGGAGGCGGGAAGGATGATATAGAGACAGATGCTGTGTGTCTTTGGAGATTACACAAGGCCAAAAGAGCAGTCTATTTATATGACAAGAAACCAATGAGGTACCTCATTAGCACTAAAAACATTGGACTGCGAGACACTGTTGCCTATTTAATGAGGACCCAACTTCTTTTAATAGTTTTCTATGAACGGCCACTGCTTTTGTTCAAAGCTCGCTTTTTTCCAGCCAATAATCTTATCGTACCATAAAACGGGAAAATGAATTGTTACTTGGCGAATATATTTTCCCCCTAAATAATGTAACAGTCCATATAAGACATATCCTTTGGTGAACAGTGATTTATTTCTAGATACAGATGCACAGGCACACACAAAGACACAGTGGCTCATTACAGATACACTGCACGTCTATGTGTCTCATCTATCACCCCTAAACAGCGCAGACTGATTATGCTCCCTGCTGGTGAATGGCGAGCACTGCACTGAGGTGCAGAGGGAATTGAACAGGCTGATTAATGCTGCGAGTTGTAGTTTACAGGCTAGACAACAGCAAACGTTCAGTGTCAATGCTTGAAAAATGATTGGGGGAAAATATCTCCGCCATAAATGTGAAGACCATCAAGAAGCTTTTAAGATTCAGGTGATAGCCACACCTGTGGAATGTGCGTGACAGATTGATAAACAACAGCAGCTACACAAACCAGGGACAATTAATCACCAGTAGAGGGCAATCTAGAAAGCAGGAGGTAAACCACCACATCTGCAGGCATCAGACCATATCCTGTCTCACTGAAGTGCTTCAAATACATGAGCAGAGCCAGACGGACCTTTCACGTTATATTTTCATTATCATATTGTTGCGGAAAATATTTGGATCGATTTAAATATGGATCTGAATATGATCAAATCTATGCTTTTTTAGGTAGGTGCTATAATTCATTACATTTATATAGCGCTTTTCTCGGCACTCAAAGCGCTTTACATAGAAGGGGGGATCTCCTCAACCACCACCAATGTGCAGCATCCACCTGGATGATGCGACGGGAGCCATATTGCGCCAGAACGCCCACCACACACCAGCTTATTGGTGGAGAGGAGACAGTGATGAAGCCAATTAGTATATGGGGATGATTAGGAGACCATGATGTACAGAGGCCACTGGGCAAATTTGGCCAGGATGCCGGGGTTACACCCCTACTCTTTCGAAAGACATCCTGGGATTTTTTTGTGACCACAGAGAGTCAGGACCTCGGTTTAACGTCTCATCCGAAGGACGAGCATCGACTTTATGCTGATCTTGTCTTGCGTAGTCAGATCTTCAGACTGACAGCAGAAGGTCTGGACTCCATCGCAACTTTCATTGGCCAAGGACTGTCCTAGAGGGCGCTTGACTGACATGTAACCCAACCAATCACAGTTCGTTTTGTTCTGCGTCACGTTTAGGAGCGTGAAAATGTAAAGTCGATGCCCCTACGATGACAGACCGGCATGCATCTAATAAATTATTCATTCAATAATGTTGTGCAACTTTACTGCAACAATGGAACTTCACATACTTTAAAATATCCACCATTTAGTTGATCCTCATCCTGATAAGCGCTCATTGTCACAGTTGGAAACACAACGGCTTTCTTCTTCCATGAGGGGGTTTGGCGTCACAAGGGCTTTGTTTATAGACCAATTTTGAGCCGACGTCACAGTTGCATCACAGCGCTAGCTGGAGGCAAAACAAAGGAAAAACTGGAGGCGGCCAATACAAACCAGCACAGATTCGGCTACATAATAAGGAGCTTAAATTATTATTATTATTATTTAATGTCATCTTGTTGTGTTGTTGGGTGCAAGAATCGATGAAAAATTAATATGCTGTATCTGGAATTTTTATTTCTAGAAAATATTCACATCATTAAAATTGCACCATAATGTCACTGCGGATGTCACAAGTCTTGTACATGACCATTCAGCACATAGTTATAGACATCTAAAGATTTATATACCCTCAGCTTCTTTTTCCACTCTGTTTCTCTATCAGGTAACGTTAGGTGTAGAAGTCAGGCCACTCAACCGGAGGGTAGCGTTAACGTTAATCCTGTCAGATCGTACATCCATTGACAGCGTGTACAGTACGGGTCAGCCAATCTGGTTCCATCCGTTAAAATTAACTTTTGCAAATAACAATCGCGGTCCTGGACAGTGAGTGACCTTGCACATTAAGATAAAATCGGATTTTCTCCAGACATTGTAAAAAACAAGCTAACAAAACTTGCAAACTAACGTTAGGGAAGCGGCCAGAGGGATCGTTCTGCCTCCACCTAAGCTCCGCCCACAAAAAACGTCACCATGTTTACCAACTGAAAAGTGGTCTAATAGGCGGATCATTAAAAAATGTGACACACAGGTCTCTCGGGCATCCTGTAGAATTCAACCAATCAGATGACGACTTCGAAACTCCAAAAGCGTTTCCAGTTAAGTGTGCCATATGATATGCATCAGACGTTCAGCCAACGGTCCGGTTCAGCCAAAAAATATTTTTTTAATAAATTTTGATGGCATTTTTGCCCCAAGCCTCGATAATTTCTAACCATGGTGTGTGCGTGGCGTGATGTCGGGGAACTTTTTCGAGCGCAAGCGGAGGCCCCTTCTGGCCCCCCCAAAAAAACAAAACAAAACAAAAACAAAATTAGTTCTTGTTTGAGAAGCCGTTTCACTTAGATATACGTCCGAATAGAGAAGAAAAGATGAACAGGACTTCCGTTTTAATACTGACTTTAAAATATGTTTAAGTTTCAGTTAAGCAACTGCAGGTGCCAAAATTTGGTTTAGCACGACAAACTTCAACAAAGCCTGAAAACCAGAAATGTACTGTCAGAAGTTCCATAAAAATGCCAAACCCTCAAAAATCATTAAATAATTCTCACACTGACACCAGCATCCAAAAGACAACATAATGCTGTAACATATGACCAATGATGCTAGGAAAACTTCCAGAGGAGCCCCAATAAGTCTTAAAATGATTCAAATTTAGGCTACATTCAAACTGTCAGTTTTTTTTGGAATGACAACCGCATTTACTTACTCAGGTGTGAGTCTCAAAATGTCCTGTATACACAGCAACTTACAGTTGTGTCTCGAATAGTGTATGTATGAACGTGCAACGGGAGTCAAGCCCGAATTCTCTAACCAGTAACCATAGCAACAGTGACCGAAGTAATTTCAAAGATGGCAGCATCCATAAAACTGAAAAGTCTCAAACACTTTTGACACGACAAGAGTCTAATCGAGTTCATTCGTCAAATCTTCATCAACCGACAGCTGTGTTTATATCTGGGTGGAAGGCGGAGCATTTGAGTCACGCGTAGAACACAAAACTGATGGGAGCAGCTCCGGCGGAGAACAGTGGTTGGATTTTGGAAAATGGAACATTTTGAACATTTACGGGTAATAGAATCCGGTTGTCATTCCATAAATAACTGAACTGTGTGTGAATGCAACTTTATTAAGGACTCAAATACAGGCCTGACAACCGTATTCTGCTGCTGTGTGAACGTGGCCTTAATCATATTACCATAATCATAATTAAAATGCTAAAAACACTAAAAATAAAGGTGTAAAACATTAAACTGACATCATACTTTTGGGTTACAGAAGTAGAGGTACACATATCACCTTAGATAGAAGGGCCGCTGAATATTGGCCTTGGAGTCAAGAAGGTTGAGAACCACTGTGTTAGAAGGAGAGGAAAGTACGGCTGTTCCAGGTCTGCAGGAAAAATGTGAATCTTCGTGCAAAGTTCTGCTGTCGCTGATTCCATGAGGGCCTGACCAAGAGTGTAGATGCATCACAGCAGCCAGAGTAAAGCTCTGGTCTTCAGTCCATTCCCTCCCATTAATCTCCAGCAATGGCCTCACCTAATCCCCAATTCCAGCACATTCTAACTAACTCTTTCGCCTGCTGGCCTTTGTGACCCTTCTCCTCTTTCAATCCCTGCTGCCCTTCATCATTGTGTATTTGCTGGCTCTGCTTTCCTAGCTTTGCTCAGCAGCCATCACTGCAAATAGCGAGCTATGACTTTAGCAGAACAGCCAGCGAGCAGTTGGCACACACATATGTATACAACACACCCACCTTGACACTTGGCACATGGATTCTTCTCATACTCCAGCAGTTCTGGAGCCTGGCCGCGCACACTGGTGGTCCTCCGCAGCGCTCCATCCTCACGCAGACGAGCTGCCTCTTCTTTGGCATAGGCCCCCAACTCCTGTGTGTAGCGTCCATACATCTGAAAGTGAGACAGCAGTGAATGAAGATGTTACTAGGGAAGGAAATGAAGGGAAACCAAGCCGAGAAGTGCTTCACTGAAATAATGTCAGACTTAACAGGCTGTTCAAAAACCCTTTAAATAAATTGAGGTAGTCTGTCAGTTTCCTATCCCTGAGCACCATCCCTGAAACATCCCTGCTTCACTGAAATGGTGCTATTTGTGAGATTTAAACTTAAGCACATTTGGCCTAATTGGGCCATATAAACATCCTTGTGACGGTTGGTTCACTTCTTATTCCTTTGGGGAAAAAGTCCACCTGACTTACAAGACTACAAGAGTTATGCATTGTTCATGTTGTTGTTGTCTCATGCACATGTTCTTCAATCTTTCATGGAGGGCTGTAACTCTTATGTAGTTACTGTGAGCATTTTAGTGGTCTCCTTAACATACTTATTCACAGCTGCCTGTTACACATTTTATCACATTTTAAAGAAATACAGAGTTTACTTTTCTTCAAGGTATGTTCAATGCTTTGGAAATGTCCTACGTACTTGCCCCGACTGGTATTTTATATGGACTTGGCGCAGTTCTGCTTTGAAAGTGCCTTTGCCCTGATGCCGATATGTTTTCTTTAGAACTGCACAGAGATGCTCCCACACACACCCAGGTGTGCTTTATTTTGATTCACGTACCTCATACCGCAGATGCAGATACACAGAATCCGGTAAAGTTAATGTGCAATTTCTGGCTTGTTGTACTGGTTAGATTAATGATAATTTACCTGTTAAAGCAAGGCACTAAAAGCTTATTTATTCAAACATCAGTTTAAAAAATCTGATTAAAAGTAGAAACTTTGCACATTCCAGACAGACTTTGCTGTAACTTTTTCTGCATTTTGTTACGCAAGTAGGATTCTTTCAAAGACACTGTCTCATTTCAAATGATGCGTCCTCCAGAGGTTGCATTTGTCAGCCAGATACATTGAGGCTGCTTCATTTCAGAAAAGTAACCATTACATTCCAAAGTAATGGTTAATTTACATTACACGTGGAACTGGATACATTTACATTCATTTAGCAGACGCTTTTATCCAAAGTGACTTACAAATGAGAACGATAGAAGCAGTGAAACTAACAATAGGACAACAATATGCAAGTGCTATGAACCAATGGATACATTGCAAAACAAATACCGGGTAAGTTATGTTAGCGAGTCATTGAATCGTTTACTTAACCACTTGAAACACCACTACTGTGTGTTGCTTGGATATGCTCAACGGTTATTTCGGCTTGTGTGACATTCTAGACATACTAATAGTCAATAATGCAGTGCTTCAGGGATGAGAAATGAATTCCCTCAAGACAAAAGTGTGCATTTAGTGTTTGGGCCTTTTCTTAGCAATGCCCTGAAAATCACAGTCATTCTGTTTACAATTTATTTTTTGCTTGACAATTTGATTGGAATTTTTAATCATTTTGGCAGATTTCAGCAAGCTCACTCTCTTTATTTGTGAGTTACATGATTTTCTATGTTAATTTAAGTATAATATAAATCTAAATATTTGTGCTTACAAATAAAAAAAAGATTAAGTTCAATGCCGTAAGAAAATGCGAAAAAAGGTCAAATGCAGGTAAATATCTTTTATAGAAACTATAAATTAAGTGCTATACGGTGTCTGTAATTTTCAAGTAAAGAAGAATAGATGAAATGTAAGCTTTTTCTGAGCAGCTGAATAGGATGTGTTTCTAATCTCCTGGGGCTTTACACATTAAAGCTAACAGTGTCAGAAACAGTGCTGGTTGGCTGTTTCACAGAGATATAGGAACATAATACACCATCAGAATTTAAACTACTTTCTCATTTTGCTGCATTGAGCTGTGATTTGTGGTAATGTCAAATTGTGACAATTCGCCTGAGCAAATCAAATACTTTAAAACAGTATGGTTTGTTCTGTGAATGATTTTCAATTTTATTTTTTATTTTTTTACTGAAATCAATACTTTTATCCTCAGACTGCCCAGCACAAATTTTCTCAGGCGATCTCGAGGAGAATGTGATTTAAATGAGCAGTGAAACTGTTCTTCTCCTCTAAACACAAATTATTGCTTGTTATTTGATAAAGATGATGTTTGTTGTTTGTGTTGTTTCTCCAAAATCCCCAATAAATGACACAGTATGGATAATCACTTTAAAGTTATAAGTTCTGTTCAATATACAGGGCTTTCAGGGACACAATGGGAGACATATTGAGGGCACTGCAAAAATATTCAGATACAAATTTACAAAAGGGTTGTTACTGATCTACAAAAGAACCTGTAATTTATGTTTTTAGCCATAGATCATAGCATTATGATTTCTGTCTGAGATTCTAAGTATAAATAATCTGAAAGAAATAAAGGAACATGAATTATAACAGAAGAAGATCACACACAGGTTGTTCTTGGAAAACTAAAACTGTCAATGACGAGTGAATTTTTACCATCTGCAAATATTTCTAAAACTATATTTTGTATTATTTTTGCTAAAATATTTTATCACTATGACATTTATGTTATTTAGCTGTTTTTCATTGAATATTTGTGACAAACAATGTAGGTCATTGTGTCACTAGCAGCATCATGCACAAGATGTGCCAGCCTCAGCTTCTGTTCATTTTTAACACGGGGAGTAATTGACATATGTGTCGCCACATATAGTTCTGGAGAATAATGTAGACAGCCAAAATAAACTTTTTCTAATTTTAGAATTGTTAGATTTGGATCACTATGGTTTGAATTACGCATATAACACATCAGTGATGTTCAGACTCTCCTTACAATTCGATTTTTTACTAACCGTTTTATTTACTTGCCAAACCCAATTTTAGCTTGCATTGGGTTCATCTTGGACCCTGACTAGAGATCTGATTAAAGTGTAAATCATTTTTTCTTTTTACACCAGAAATTGGGGAGTCTGTCCTTTCAGCCAAAGAACTGCAAACTTACAATGATGCTTTCAACAATTTTGTATCCTTCAGCTGAATTCATATTGTATCATCCTGACATGATTTTGTCCTCCGATATTGTGTGGGTGACGTAAGGGGGTATTTTGAGCCCTTCCCACCCATTGTCCTCTGCATTTCCCTATTCCTTTCTTCTCCCATCCCTCGTTCTTACAGTCAGCTGCTCCCACACAGGCACATGCCCACGGTGCTAAAGATGGAGAGACGGGAATATTGGCAGGTCCGTTGTGTAGCGCCACAATCCCTCTCTCCCACTCCCTCCTCCTGTTTCTCCCTCTCTCTCTGTTCTATAAACACACGGCACTCTGATCTGAGGAGCTCTGCCGCCAGCGGCACATTGAGATGAGCATCACGATTCCAGCAGACTCTCTCTTCGCTCGCATGAGCAGGTGCAGCTCAGAGAAAGCAAAGCAGCCCAGCACAGATTGATCCATACCCTCCTCTTCCTCCTCTGCTCCGTCTGCCTCGTTTCACACAACCTTTGCACCCCTTTGCCACTCATTCTAAACAGCTACCCACCTGAAGCCATCGCCCGACACGCGACGCCTATCGCACCAAGTCATCGTCTTCATCAGCTTGGCACCCGTCCATCCTGGACAGCTTGATATATTAGTCTGGCGCAATTAAACTCTCCCACCATTTCCAAACAGTGACATTTAACCTTAGCAACACAAGCTGTCACATTCAATGACCTGCTGCGACCAATCAAATGGCACGTCCGAAGTGCGACGCTCCTATCACAGGTGAGCTCCTGACCTCTCCTAGAAAATAGGAAAAGGGTTTAGGCGACAAGCTGTGAAAAACAAGGTTTACCCAACAGATGCTGCCTTATCACATCATGCTCAACCCCGTCAACACTTCAGAGCACACTTACTCCATACAATAAGCCTTTAAAGTGCTTCCCTTCAGTATCCTAGTGGTCAAACAGACCTGCGGCTTATTAACCAGGAAGGTCTCGGCAAAAGTTACTGGGCAAACGGGGCACGTTTTTCTATTCTTTCACACAACTGGTACTAGAAGTCAGGTCTGGCAGTGCAAAATCCCCAGTTCAGTAACTGTTGTAAGACGTGAAGCTCTTGCTTTTTGTCCTATCCATTAACCCTTTGATGTGTCCAAACACACCGGTGTCTTAGAACATTCAGTGCATCACGTGATGAACTGCTAAATTCAAATCTGCTTTCCCGCTTTGACTGAAGCTGAGCCAGAGACACTGAGCGTTTCTCCTATCACGACTGTGGAGTGTTTTTCACACAATATTTATATTAGGTTTCAGACATTTAAATACACATAGTACTAGCATAACAACATCTATAGTTTGTAAAACACACACTGATGTCGATGGAAGTGGCAATAATCATTTCAAACATAATTTGACGACACGTTTATATGTGCACTGTGTTGATGACAAAAATTACGTCACGGGGTCTGTTGGTGAGCCAGAGTAGAACTAGTACACAGGAAGTATACTTTCGGCATGATAATTAATGATATTTGTAAAATAAAATAAATTGACTTTAAAAAATATTTTTTAAACTTTAAAAAAAATTTATTAAGATGTGGAAATGCTATTCAAGGCCTAAGGAAAATGTTAAAAAAATTATAAAATATGCTATATACTTGATGGTTACAGCAGATGCATGGGTCCTATTAGATGAGTGCTATTATGCTATTTTACATTTTTTACTTGGATTAGTGTGTAATGTTGCTGTTTGATCATGAAAAAGGTCTGCAATGTTACAAAGTCCACAAAGGGACTTATTCTCTATCAGTAAGCACTAAATACATTTTAAATTTAAATAATTTCCACCGAAATCAAACACAAAAAAGAGGGCAAGGTCTGGTTGAGATGTGTGTAGTACTTAGTAGTGTGTTAAAACTCACGATTAAGGGACCTGACATTTCCAAAACACGCTTGAAGTCGTTGACCAATCACAACACACTGCTCCAGCCAACCAATCAGAGCACAATACACTTTTTTAGACGAAGGGGCTTCGGAACTAAATGACAGACTAGGAAG